TGAATCACATTCCATTACAGAGCAAAATATGTAAAAACTATTACGAATTTAGTAATCAGTCAACAATCATCTTAAGATCCCAGATGGATGATGATCCAGATATACTTGATCTCTCGATTTATCGTCAAGGTATTAATTCTCATTCGCGATGCACTTTTGGCTGCGAAAACCCCTCGAAGTTGATCGCAATTCCCCGAATTATCCGTTGTAAACTACTCATGGATTATAAATTCTTGACCAAATATAATGCTCGTATGTGTAGCAATCATGTCGATAATTCTACATTTTGGCCACTTGTGAAGCAAATTACAAAAGAAGTAAGTGCTGAAGAACAAAAAACAGTCAGTGATCTTATGTTTATTTACTATCAAGAGCTGAAAGGGAAAAATGAAAAAATATTCGATGTGGATAATATCGACTTCATTGATATTACGACCTTCAAAAATTGGTTTGCTCTCGATAAAGAACAATTCAAACTGTATGCAGTTTTTCTGTAACATGTCAACCTAAGCATGTTGCTGTTTTACTTTGTAAAATGCGAACTTCTCTTTCTGATGAACAACTTTCATTCTTATTCGGTGTTTGTCGGAGGACTATTGAAAATCATATGAATTCAGCAAGAGAAGATTTCCATAAAAACTTCGTTCCACAATTCATCAATCGGAATGATCGCTCAGTATTCCTTGCTCATACGACACCAATGTCAAAAGTACTATTCGACATTCCCGACAATAAAGCCTGCATAGTATTCGATGCCACCTATCGCCTAGCACAAAAATCTGCGAATTATGCAGGACAAAAACATATGTGGAGTGAGCAGAAAAAAATGCCGCTGGTCAAACCTATAGTAGGTTGCTCTTTAGATGGTTTCATTCTATACGTTTTTGGACCATTTGACGCAACGCATAATAATGCGACAATATTACGGGATTGTTTCCAGAGATACGCGAACGACTTGCATACTATTCATGAGATGATACGATATTAGTTGATAGAGGTTTTCGTGATATGCTGAATTTCCTAACTGAAGAGAAGAATTTGAAAGCTTATTGTCCAGGACTTGGCCAACTCAATACCGCAGAAGCAAATGCTTCAAGATGTGTAACCAAATGTCGCTGGGAGATAGAGCAAGTCTTCGGTCGCCTCAAGAGAAATTCAAGATTTTCTCTTTGCCAGCACATAATAGAACTCTAAACACGATCTCGACTCTCTCTATATCGTTTTTGCCCTCTTGAATTTATTCCACAAACCAATTCTGAATGATATTATGCATGAAGGCATAGCACAGACTCTGAAATCTCGACTTAACGTCCCTAATCGTTTGCAAATCATCCAAGAATTCAATCTTCCTCAACTGAGAGCACCATTCTTTGGAGTCGAGTATACATCACTTGATAATGAAGAAAAATAATCGACTCATTGGATTTCCTGAACTTTCGATGGATGATCTGTACTACTTGAGTCTCGGACCTTATCAAATACGCAATGCAATTTTATACTATGCAGAGCATCAGAAAGAAGGAATATTCTTGGTGCAGAAGTTTAATCCAAGACCGAAGCACCCGTCAGCAGCTTTGAACTATGAGAAGTATGGTATCTCAGTTGAAGAACCTACATTGATTAAGGCGCATATGAAATCTCGTTACCGTGGTGGTCAGTATCACTACATTTTTGTTTTGATAGATAAAGCAAAAACTGGACGGGATTCTATTCGTGAGTACTATTGTACTTGTCAAAGTGATGCTTGGACTGCAGATTGTTGCAGTCATGTAATGACAATTGTATGGTTCCTTGGATTTGCTCAATACCATGGGATACAAATACCCAATCCTGAAATATGCAATGTATCTATCACGATTCACAAAACAATCCTGCATGAGAGGCAAGGGGACTCACCTTGAAAAAGCACCCCAATCTGTGAGAGGCAAGGGGACTCATCTTAAAAAAGCACCCCAATCCATGAGAGGCAAGGGGACTCACCTTAAGAAAGCACCCCAATCTGTAAGAAGCAAGGGGACTCTCAGCAGAAAAGCATCTCGATCCGTGAAAAGCGGTGTCACGTGTTACTTCAACTCCATCTATTTCGGGGAATTTTATGCTAGACGAAAACTAAGGTCATATTTCAATCCGGCATAAAAATCCATAAGAAATGGTATGTTTCACTTCGTTATATATATTTTATTCCTTGGTATGGATACTTAAAGAGTTTCATGTACTTTCATGGATTATGAGAAATCATCACTTTCAACCCTTTATATCTCCGGAACCGCGCTTATGCTCATCTTAAAATTTCTCTGAGATTAATGTTCTATCATACAGTACTATTTGGCATAAAAAAAAGTTTGAAATTTGAGGTCCAAAAAATGGGCTAAAAAACAGGTCTTTTTGCCATCACTCTTTATAATTTTTATTCATATTTCCAAATTATTAAAAGATTGCTGATTTTTGTACGCTTTGTGTGTGTATTGAAAATGGACGCTGCATGAGACGTCAACAAAAAAATTCCAGTATCAATTGTAATATCTTCGTTAATACTTTTAAGTAAAAAGGAAAGCGACGACTCCGAATCAAGCGATAGTGAAAATGAAAATTGTCGAAGACATTTCTAATGATATGCAAACGTTATATTCTATGTTAATGATAAATAAATCACGTGGAGAAATAATTTCAAATAAAAAAATTACGGATTACGTAGAGCGTGTAATTCCAAATTACACCAATACTATATTTAAAGAACATTTTAGGTAAGTATTTAAATATAAACATTATTAAAGTATAAAAGTTGACATATTTTCCATCTGATCATCTCTGGCGAAAATGAAAATTGAAGCGTAAGTCGAGTATATAATGAGAAATATAAGGAAGCGTTAATGCTTCTTTTACATTCTATTATCTCAATTTTCGCTTCCTATAAGTTTCGCTCCCGTTATATTCGACTTATGCTCCGATTTTAATTTATGCCAGTCGAATTCATGTCACTTAAAATCTAACATTGTAGGATGTATCCAGCAACATTTGAAATGGTGTTGTCATTAATTGGACCTGCGCTAAATGCCACAGGAATCGAATTTGGTAAAAAACCAATTTCAGCAGAGAAGCAATTATATATTGTTCTCTGGTTTATGGCTACTCCTGATTCATACAGGTATGTAAAACCCAGGTATTCGTGTAATCATTCTATTGCCTTTACCATATATAGTTTAATTATTTTGTAACCAGCTACTCAATACTTGATTTCTGAATTTTATAGATCCGTTTGTGTGAAATTTGGAGTTGGCAAAGCAACAGCTTTCAGAGCTCTACGACGCGTTACTTATGCACTTCATTGTATTGCACCTCGGTTTATCCAATGGCCTAATGAAGTTATTGCTGCCAATATCATGGAACAATTTAAAAAGACGTGTGGCTTTCCAAATGTGATCGGTGCGATAGACGGAACACATATTAAGATCCGAGCTCCGTCAATCGATTCTGTTTCTTATATAAACCGGAAAGGATTTCCATCTTTATATGTGCAAGTAGTGTGTGATTCACGTAGCCTTTTTACACACTGCTATGCAGGGGAAGTAGGAAGTGTTCACGACGCTCGAGTTTTTAGAAATTCCCCAATAGCAGGTTTTCTACAGATGTCTGATGTGTACTTTCTTAACAATTCTCATATTATTGGAGATGCTGCATATGGAATTAATCCGCACGTCATGGTTCCATTTAGAGATAACGGACATCTGACAAATCGGCAAAAAAATTTCAATTATTGCTTGTCGGCAACCAGGATGGCAGTTGAACGTGCGATTGGGCAATTAAAAATACGCTTTAGAATTCTATTGGATTGTCTACCACTGACAGATATTTAAAAAATTCCAGAATTTATCATTGCATGCTACGTATTACATAACATTTGCATTTTACAAAATGATACAATGACTATTGGCGTCCAACCATATGAAGAATTACAGATACTTGTTCGCGACGATAATACTGCCGAAGGAAATGCAAAAAGAAATAGAATAATGAATGCATTGCAAATGAAACTATAAAGTTGATTAATGAATTATTAATTTGTAAGTTGGTCAATTAATTTGTAATTGTTTTATAGATTTGAAAATAAAGCCTTTTCTTTATAAATCTTTTAGTCTGAAATACTTTCAATTTTAATTAAATATCTTACATAAGTTATAAATATGTTATAAACATAAGTTTTTAAATATATATTAAATATATATATTTATAAGTTATAAATATGTTATAAATATAAGTTTTTAAATATCTTACATAAGTTATAGGATCTATTAATAAATTTGTACGAAAGATTATATATTATTTTTTTTATTAATAAACATTTTTTTCTATAATATATAAACATTTGTTTATATTTTATTTTTGACTTTGTCACCATAATAATCTTCAGTCTTATACAAGTATTGTAAACTTTATAAACTATCCCCAATAAGCAAAAAAATATTTTGAAAAATCTTATAAATATTTTACGTATTTTACATTTCTTTTTATGTAAAATGTGAACAAAACTAACTAAAATACAATTACAGAATAAAATTTTTTAAGCGTTTTCAAAATCTTAACTGTATAATAAATAAAAATAATTTTTAGAATAATTAAAAATATTGTTATGTTTAGAAGTAAATATTCCTTGCTGATTGGGATCTATCTTTGGTCATTAGTGTAACATTAGAATAAATAACATTTAATGCGATAATCACGCTGAACAATATGAACAAAACAATATGAACTTAACGGTAATCACAGTTAACTTTCAACTTCTTTCTTATGAGTCTAGATGGAAGATAAATCATTAAGAAAATTACGTTTTATGAAGAAATTGCTGTAATATGGAAACTAATGATTTTTGAATTTCTATTTGCTCATTATTCCTTCTGTCGCGTTCTTTTCTGTTTTCTTCATGTATCATTTCTCGACGTGCTTCTTTTTTTTCATTTCTTCCTTCTTTTCTTTTTTTTCAACCGCAATATTTTCCATAAATTCTTCAATAATATTTTCGATTCTCTTTCTTTTTTTCGGTGGACCTGTAATAAATAATTCAAAAAAGATAAATAAGAATGAAATTAAATTTATATTATTAAAAATTAACACACCAACTACAAAACAAGTCAAACTATTTTTTAATCGCCTTTATGACAAAAACATAATTATATAAAACTATGTTGTAACCCGTTAACAGTAACAATAACTATTTACTTTTCAAATCAGGAGAAGAAATTATAGACGATGACGTTGACGGTCCGCTCTTAGTTGGATCCGATGGACCATCACTTGTAGCAATTGCAGGTGGATTGATTGAAACTTTATCACCGAACAACGAATCCATAACCTAGTACATGGATAATGTATTCATCTTACTAAATATTTAATAAATATATTAAAAATATATATTTTTGATATACGTGACAAAACATTCTCACCGAAAAAAATACCCAAGAATTTCGATGATTACCGTTTTTCTTATTCTGGTCAACGATATTTTTGTAAGTTCTTTTTAAGCCGGACATTTTTGTGGCACATTGCTGTGAAGTTACTATGTATTTTGGATTAGCCTCCTTCATCTGTACTGAAATTTCTGTCCAAATTTTATTTGTACGTTTTGTACCACCTGAGAAATCCTCCTCTCTTTCTCTGTACAGTTTTAATAATAATAGAATTGCTTTGTCTGGCCATACAAATGTCTTTGATTTATCCTGATCTGAAAACATTACATTAAAAAATAAACATAACTGTAAATAATATATTAATAATAATTAGTAATAATTAGTAATAATATATTTGTTCGTTGGTGGCTCGCCGTGCGGTAGAATGGCCGGTTGGAGCCAGCGCAACTGTAGTTTTCGGATGTACCAGATCGGATGGCGCAAAAGAGGAGCAACTTTTCTTTTTTTTGTTTCACAGCACTTTATTTGTTATCGTTCGATACAATTCTCAACCCCTGAACACGGCGGTGCGAATTGTTATAACCATAAATTTTACCCGGGGTGCCGAGCCGAGCCGGGCACAAAAAATACGCGTTTCGCAGAACGCGGAGCGCACGCGGCCTTTTTCGTGAAACGATTCCGCAAGACTGCCGGTAGGCCGCGCTTAGGAATGCAAAAGCTCTCCCCCGGCCCCGAGCTACTCGATCCACCCAGAGCGGGAAAAAAGCTCAGCACCAGCGCGACCGGGACAACAACTCTGTTTGGACAGAGAGCAAAAATCGGAGCTGACGTGTCGCTCCGATCTCGCGACTCGCCAGCGTAGGCTCGCAAGACGCGCAAAAGCGTCAACAATATTAAATAATATATATATATATATGCTTTTGCAAGAACCTCCTAATTGAGAAGATCCGCCCGCCGTGGAAAGTCATTGTGAGATGGAGAGCTATTTCTCCTTCCTCGCCTCGTCTTCCGTCGGTCTGATCGGAAGAGGGCAGATCTTGGAGATCGGCCGTCGGAGCTGCGACGCGGCTGTCTCCACCGTCACCACGCGTACCAGTCCGTCGTCCCCTGGGTGCACCCGAATGATTCGCCCCAGTGGCCATTTCGTGGGGGGCCGCAGGTCGTCCTTGATGAGGACCAAGTCCCCAATCGAGAGATTGGATGAGCGCCGTCGCCACTTGCCAAGTTGTTGAAGATGCTGGAGGTACTCTCGTGACCACCTGTGCCAGAAATGATCACGCATATTAGTAATTAATCGGTGCCGAGAAGTGGCCGAGTGAGGAAGACCCTGAGGACAGGGTGGTTCCGGTGGGTTGATCGGACTTTCCCCGATGAGAAAGTGTCCTGGCGTTATCGCCGTATTGTCTAATGGATCGCTAGTCAGGGGGTAGAGAGGCCTGGAATTGAGGCACGCCTCTATCTGACAAAGAAGAGTTGTCAACTCTTCGAAAGTTAAAAGTTGGTCGCCCAGTACCCGTCTGGGATGAAATTTGGTGGACTTGACTCCGGCCTCCCACAGCCCGCCAAAATTCGGGGCTGAAGGGGGAATAAAACTCCAGACGGTACTGTCTTGGGCCAGTTGGACCTTACAGTTTGCGTAGAAGTCTGAGGCGGCGCTGAACATCTCTCGCAGCTCCCGCTCTGCCCCTTGGAAGTTAGTTCCGTTGTCGCTGGTGAGACGCGCACAATGACCTCGCCGAGCGACAAAGCGCCGAAATGCAGCCAGAAACGACCCAGCAGAGAGGTCCGACACTGCTTCCAGGTGTATCGCCCTCGTGGCTATGCAGACGAAGAGGCAGATGTAGCCCTTGTAGCTCTTCTGTCCGCGACCCTTAGAGGTGCGGAGCTGTATTGGGCCCGCATAGTCTACGCCAGTGGACCAGAAGGGGCGATGAGCTCGCACTCGGTCGGTCGGCAGCTGTCCCATTTGTTGTTGAGCGGATGCGCCCCTGAAACGAGCGCATTTTACACACTGTTTGAGTACAGACCTTATCAGAGAGTTGGCCTGTAATATCCAGTAACGCCGAGCCAGGACGCTGCGAGTGAGCTGTGGTCCCCCGTGAAGTGTCCGATGATGGGCGTCTCGCACTAGTAGTAGTGCTACGTGGCTGCTCTTGGCGAGCACGATCGGGTGCCTTTCGGCAAAGGTTAGCGATGAGTGCTCCAAGCGTCCGCCGACTCGAATTAGTCCACCTTGACACAAGAAAGGTCGTAGCGCCGAAAGGGGTGATCGGCGTGAGACTTGCCCTCCTCGATTGAGAGCGTGACCCTCCTCAGCAAAGTCCTGTTGCTGAGCGAGGCGTAGTAATCGTAACCGACAGCATTCCAGCTCATTGACAGTAAGATTGATCGTTGGTGGCCGCACTGCTAGGCGCAGGAACCTAAGACAGAAGGCCAAGACACGGATTAATTTGGAAAACGAAGAGAATCGCACTAGTAAGTCGTTTTCAAGTGCGACGGTATCTGTGGTAGTTGCGTGTGAGCGACGTTCTTCAGCCACGTCTTGGTCACTAAGATAGTCTGCTGGCCAGCTGTCGTATGGGGATTCCAGCCAGGTTGGACCACGCCACCACTGTCGCTGGTTATATAACTCCATCGGCGAGATGCCACGAGTGGCCAAGTCCGCTGGATTGTCAGAAGTGGGCACGTAATGCCACTGATCGGCCGGGAGCAACTCCTGGATAGCCGCTACTCGGTTGGCTACGAAGGGGTCCATCGAGATGGG